AGCTCGCCCTCCCACTCTCTGCTGGCTACTGCTCTTCGCTGCCACCTCCAGCCTGTTCCCTCAGCTGGTTAAAGCAAAGTCACCTGCAGGTCGGTGGAGGCTCCCGTTGCTCTGGGGCTGTGCTGTGTCCCGAGCGCCTGCAGGGGCTGGGCAGCAGCTGGCATTGTTGTCTCCTTTTTTGGCACAGAGACGATGCACTTGTGTGTGTGTGCTGTGTAGGCCAGTAACACGTATGTACAGGTTATATTCAGGGAATTGTAATACTGAAAATATGATGTATTTAATTTTTTAATTGTCTGGTGCAGGTCCTTCCAGAACTCTGTATTGCAGGTTTCCAGTAATGGAAGGAAATGCAGCTCAGTAGTGAGATTGCAGGTATGAGAATGGTTAAATGCTGCAGAGCAGAATAAAACCCTTTTTTTCTGTTGGTTTTTTTCCCTTTTTTATTCGAGTTTTGGTTTCCTCATAAACACCATGCTGGTCATTGCTGAGGTTCAGATCAGAGCCTGTGAACAAGTTACATTCCAAATCTCGTGTTGATCAGGTGTGAAAGCAGCTGGTGGTCCTCACTCCACAATACTTAAAGGCAAAGGTATTGAGTTGGTGCTTTTGCCCTCCTCCTGTGGTGAGAATATGCTTCCACCAGCCCCAAGGGCTCTGCACCATCACCCTGGGCCTTTCTGGGTGCAGGGTCTTTACGTGGCTCCTGGGGCCACGTGCTGAGGGTCCTGCAGGGCCGAGGTCCGGGATTTCCGCCAGGCTCCGGGGCCAGCCCCTGAGGCTGCTGGGGGGAGCGGGGCTGCAGGGAGTGGGCAGCAGACAGGGAGCTGACAGGGGAGATGTCACATCCCTGTGTAAGTGGAATTACCTTTTTCCCCATCCTTATCACACCCTAGTGTGTTCCTGCGTCTGTCCGACGTGAGCTGAGGGCTGGGGGCCAGCAGCCCCCACAGCCCCTCCCAGGCAGGCAGGGAGCCCTGGCACTCCCAGCCCTGCCACCGGCCCACTCACTGCAGAGTCACAGGTTCAGCTCTGAGGGGGTTTTGCTCTTCCTGCTCTACCTTCTATTTTTTTTTCCCTGTCAGAAGATTACAAACATCATTCCATGTATTTCCTGGACTCTTGACCTTTTATTCCACAGATTTCATTAGAAACAGAACTATCCATGGTCACCAAGTGCTTTGAGTATCAATGGGATTTGAGCTTTTAAGTCACTTATATACTTTAAAAAAATCCAACATATGAAGTGTTTTAATTGCAGGATGAAATATTCATTCTCAAGATTCTATTTTACATACAGGGAGTGAAGCTGCCTCTCCTAAAGCAGTCCCTTGTGGACGTCACCATTTTCTGTGCCAGGTTTAACTCATTCTCGTGGCCCTGGCATCATGCAGGTTTCCTAAAACCAACCCTGGAGCAGGGATGGGGCTCCAGCTGGGACAGGCAGGCACCAGGGTTCTCTCTCTCTGGGCTGATTTTGGTTATTTTTATAGGGTAGATTTTTTTCCTCTTCAGTTCCGTTTATCTTTTCAGGATGTCCTGCAGATAAGCTGTGAATTTTAAGTGGGGACTTGAGTAAATGAGCAGTGTGGAAAAGTAGCATCAGGGGTGTCCCCAGCAGCACAGAACTGGAGCTGGGGTGAGGATGAGGATGAGGTGGTTGTTGGGAGCTCCTTGTTCTCCCAACCTCATGTTTTCCATTATGGGGATGTCCAAAAAGTTGCTTGGTTAAAAATTTTGCTTTTTTGGTTCTGTAACAGCTACAGTTTTGATATTTGGTTTGTTTGGTTGGTTTTTTATTAAATGTAAAACTGTTTCTGAGTGTTCCTGATGTGGGTGGGGCTTCAAAGTGAGTGGAGGTGAAATGCTTCTTTCTGTGAAAGAGGAACTGGTGTGTCCGTGTCTCCCCGCGTGTCGTGCCGAGGCCGAGGGGCCGTCCTGCCGGGGCAGAGCCCATGGTGGGGGCACTGCCCAGTTCTCTGCTCAGAGCAGTACCTGTTTCTGGGTGGGCCTGGGTTGGTCTCCCCGTTCCAGGCGTGTTGTTGGGGCTCCCAGCCCAGAGA